ATAAATTTATTTTTTTTAATTTTTAATATTTTTAAAAAAATACAGTGCAACAAACACACTAGAAAAAAATAACGACATTTTCCCTAAACAAGTTTAAAAAACTCACAAAACCAATATTAAACAATAAAAAACTATTTACCCTAAAAAATAATTTAAGAAAATATTTAATATTACGATAAATGACACTCACAAACAATTTCAAAATACAGCTCAAAAACTTAAAATTTGTTTTAAAACTAAATTAACCAAAATATGTTTTTCGCTTCCTTGTCCAAAACTCATAATTTAGACACAACTTTACGTTCCCAATTGCTACTTTTCAAACCAAAAACAACTCTTCCAAATCATTTTACATGTCGACTAAAATCTTTCTCACCATTGCTGCATCATGTTTCTCCCTTCCTCAAAAACACTTTATCTTCACAACTAACACCACCCGTTTGGTTTCTCTTGTCATTGATACATTCGGCATTGCTGCCATCGACATAGCCAAGGAATTTGCATCTCACCTTATTTGTTCTTCCTTCCCCGGCATGGCTTTGGCTATTTTGCCTCAATTTACAAAACTCGATGAGACGGTTACAGTTGAGTACAGAGACTTACCTGAACCGTACAACTCCTTGGTTGTGTACCGATTCAGGGTAAAGATCTCCCTGAACCGGTTCAAGACCGATCAGCCAACGCATACAAGAAGCTGATTACAATGTAAAGCAGTTTCGTTCAGTCGAGGGCATAATTGTGAAAGCTTCGTAGACATGAAAGATGAAGCTATAAGCTTTGCAGGCTGAAGAACCAGACAAGCCACCGGTTTATCCAATTGGACCGCTCATCCAAGTTGATTCGAGTGATGGGTTGGACTAGTCTAAGTGTTTGTAATGGTTAGATGGTCAACCAAGTAATTCAGATTTGTTTGTATCATTTGGAAGAGGTTAGGACTCTCTCTCATGACCAACTGAATGAGCTAGCATTGGGTTTGGAACTGAGTGGCCAAGAATTTTTGTGGGTTGTGAGAAGCCCTAGTGACAAGTCTGCTAGTTGCTGTTTTTTCAATGCACAAAGCCAAAAGAAAATGGTTGGGAGCACTAATTAGTGCTCCCGCTAATTAGGTGGCAGTGGGTCCCGGCCATTAATGATATGATGTTTTGGTCCTTGGAGTTGTGTTTTTTTTTTTTTTTTTTTACTTTTAATACATTAGTGCTATTAGTGGTTGATGTTTTTAATGGGATGAATCATTGTTTGAAGCCAAAATGATCCTTTGAGTTTCTTGCCAAAGGGTTCTTTTGAGGGGAGACAAGGTCGAGCCTGGCGGTGCTGTCATGGGCACCGCAGATTGACGTGTTAAGCCACTGTGCCACAAAGTGATTTTGACTCAACTGCAGGTGGAACTTGACACTAAAGAGTCCGTGCATGGTGTACTCTAATTGCTTGGCCATTCTACGAGGAGCAAAAGATGAATGCGGGTGATGCTAACAAGGTCTAAAAGTGGTGATACATGTTTTATTTTTTTATTTTTTTTATTGTATGTTTTGATTTGGTTTGGTTTGATTTTTTTTTTAAAAAAGGTAGTTTATTGTAGGGTGTACTAAAAAATTAGACATCTCGCATTAACTTGGCCAGTGTCGTTTTAATAAGGTGAGTGAGTTGGGTTTAGACTGGTTTGGTGATAAAATTGATTGATTAGTTAAATAAATAAAAATTGATCGATTAGTTAACTGATCAATCAATATTTATCACCAAACTAGTCTAATCTACTCACTCACCTTATCAAACGACACAGACTGAGTTGGTACGAGATGTCTATTTTTTAGCATACCCATACACATAATCCCCTTGTAACAAAAAAAGAAAAAAAAAAAAAAAGAAAATCAACCAACACAGCCCAAAAATAAATAAATAAATAAAAATTCGAGGCATTTCAAGGCCTCAGCATCACACTAAAATTTATATATATATATATATACTAGTTTGAGCTGATCGTGCATTGCAAATCACGATACCAGTGGTAAATGTTGTAGTATAATATGATATATATAATTGAGTATTAGTATGATATTATAAATATTAAGAAAAAGTTGTTCCCTAGCTGTTATGTAGTAAGTTTGGAAGGCTAAGAATGAGGTGCCTTTTTCAACGAAAAAGAATGTTGATGGGCTGAATTAGCTGAGCTGGTGAAAATAAAGGTAGCAATATGGAAGTAAGCAAAGTTCTACATGTTTGCAATATTCAGTGGAGGGACATTGTCAATAATCTTGATAGGATCATAGCTTGATTGAAGTGGTGGTGGATCGCATTCTGCTGGTTTCGGTTCTTGTTTCAATTCAATTCAATGCTGATAAGGTGGGTGTTGCTGGCTATGCTGTTTAGTTAGATTGCTGCTGCTTTTTCCATTTGGTCTGTTTTTTTTATATTTTTATTTTGCACTTTGCTGCTGTTTGTGATCTATTATGGGTTGAAGTGTGGGCTTTGCCACCGTTGTTTG